GTCATTAGATCTTTATCAAATACCTTCAACCACTATCCGATATATGGTGAATTAATTCCTTAATTTGAAAATTCCTTGTTAATTTCTTTTTTTTAAAGTATATTCTTTCGTTTTCGATCTGTTGTCGATTTAATATATTGATTAAGTGTATCTGTCGTAATGACCTATTTCACATACATTCACTAAAATGATTCTCTCTTAATATCTTTCTATACTCTAAAACATCAGTTAAAAAAATAATATGACCAGAATGGGAGAATGAGATTTTGTGCAATAAACTCTGAATCAAGGGAGGGGGAATTTGGCGATTAACACTATATCCCTGAAAAATTAACCGAATTTAGTAAATGGCTTATATAATATTCGTGACAGAAAACTTCTGTTTATTCATATATACAGCAATGTGTAGACAATTATGAACTTAAGCATCTTTTTGTTCACCAAAATCATTCTAGTATACTGTAACAAAAAAAGGACAAATGAAATAACAATTATGATGTTGAGTAGAAGGGTTAATCGACGGTTAAATAACTTATATAGGATAGTTTTATTCAAACCAGTAAGTAGAACTATCACATATTACTAGTTCGGTTTTTTACTAAACTGGTTAATATAAAAACCGGCCGTGTCGACATTTTCTAATCGTATACTCTGTGCAGTATATTCAGCTTTTAGGAACACTTTTAGGTACTAAGGTTAGCAACACAGCCCATCTCTCTAGTCCAATGCAGTTAAGTCAGAGTTCAAACCCCAATACCGATTTCTGTAAATCTAATGGTTTAGGCATCAAGTCGATTCTTTATAATCAGATGTAAGAATATACGAGACCGTTAATATAAGTTGGAAGTATAAGAAATAGATGAAATTCCCTAATATTTTGGATATTGTTTACTTTAAAGTTAAAAACTGTTATTTTGAGTTTTAACTGATTTAATTTAAATTTTGGATTGAGCACTTTTAATACATGAGATAAAGTTAAGGATTGATTTTATGATAAAATGGTTTGGTAAAAATTTGATTTAATTAATCAATAAATTGTGTACACAATCAATAGATTATACTACAAAAACATAAATTTTTCATCAGTGTATAATGTTCCGATTTCGGGTGCATTTTGCATTTGCACTTAGAAGTACAAATATCGATATACATATAGAATTCAGCCGGAAGTTAGTAAGCTGAGAATTTAAGCCATATATTTTTGAAGACAAAGCTAAGATCACCCTATGTAAACTTGTCTTGGGATCTGAAATCTTTAATTACTCTTCACACTCTCGGTGTGTAGCGAAGCATGGTACAGAAACCTTTGAATGGGCATTAAGTTACGTTTGATTATCTTCCTGTATCATACGCTGAAACCTATATACAATTACTAGTTTTGGTATCAAGTTACTTCTTGCATGGATTATACAATGTCTTGATAATAGTACGTTCTTATCCGTCCTATAAACTAGTCTAATGATTGCAGTCTTTCTCTTACGTTGACTGAATACAGTTATTGTACTACATCCACTTCTAAAGATCCTTATAAATATTTTTGAACAGTAATTTATCTGACGGTGCTTCTTATTTGTTTCATACTCCTGTAATCGATTTTCAGGCTGTTCAGTTACTAAATCTGTCATATCTCAGACTGTAACTCGTTAAAAAGAATTTCTGAAATTTCGCGTTTCCATTTTCAAATCGAGTTGAATATCCATTCGTTGTTTCACACCAAATCCCTAGAAACTCACCTTTCGAAAGTAATTTCAATGAATAATCATTGAGTATGTAGCTTCAAGGTTCGGAAATGGTGATTTCATTTCAAATAATAAACGGTATAGTATTGTGAAGCTCACTTCCTAAAATCCTTAGATAATAACTACGAATTTAACTATTTCCACAAACAAGAATAGCAAGATTCACTACAAATACAGTTGTTAATTTTGAAAGAACTAATTATGAACATCGTGAAAATACAACAGAAATATCCCTTAGCTCAATATTTACGTAATAAATCCGGTTATTGATTTGGCATTTTAGAATAATCTTATACCAACTTAAAGAATAACCCCTCAAGGCACCAAATAATCTTACTATTATATGTTACATATTTGTTTGATGATCAACTACGATCGGTTATGTCATGAATGAACCGACCCTAAACATCAGTGAGAAGGTCCAAGCAAACAATACAAAATGAGTTAAAACTTCACCCCATTGCACTAGCTAGCGTCTGTGAGGACTCAATAGGAAAGTGGATAACGCGATGGGGTTTGAGGCGGACGGGACCGGGTCCCGAAGTGAACATAAACTCAGACACGAGTACATCCAGCTAGCGAGTCTCAAAGAGGACGAAACTCAAGTTCTGGATTCCACTGCTAGCCAAACCCATCTTCGACCCACAATTCAGTATTCGTTTTTGTTAAATGTTTTGACAACTCATGTTTAAAAATAATTATTACATACAACAACCAAATCGAGTATTCCGTATTGGACAAATATTTCAAATAAATTACTCGACATAGTTTATTGATAAAACTCCAGTGTAGTGTGAATGCTATCAAGTGATTTTTAGTTCTGTATGAGTTCAGTGGTGTCTGTTTTTAGATTTAGTAATGAAAAATCGGTAAACCATGTACAACATCTATTTTCTCACTGTCAGGACTCCTCAATAATATCTTTGAACATGTATGCCTATGATCAATATCAGTACACTTTATCACTGAACTGAAATACATTCAGGAGAATCAACTTAAGAAATTCATAGCTTCCTAAAAGGACCAAGCACACCATCTCTAGAACTAATAAAAAACATTGTGAAGAAATAGCCATCCTTCCCTTAACACGTAAATTGTAAATCATTGATTTCACAGTTAACTTTCATTTTTGTGATAGTAGTAAGAAGTTTTAGTAACTTTCAGGTATTTTTTTTTGGTAAGTAATGGTGAAGTGGTTATTTTATAGGATATATATTGTAATTTACAGATTTATCCCGGCAATAAGTGAAAAAATATGCGAAGGCTAGACAAGGTGTTCACTAAAATTTTGGAGTGATCTCCCTAATTGACATATTGAGAAAACGTAGTACTCAGACGTCATTTAACGTTAATGATGGACGACAAAGATAGGTAAATACTATATTGTCAAAGGAATCTCACAGTATAAATTTTCATTACGAGTTAGGGCAAATAATTTTATTAGTATGCCATACACTATTCAAGTTGTTGAATCATCCCAATGAAAAAGCTTGCAATACATGGGTAAAAATCTTCCTCCTGGTGATCGACTGAATCATGAAGACATCAACATCTGGGGGGAAGCATGGGATGCAGTGGACAGCTAAGATGCAACTGGACGATCTAGACTTCGCAGATGATGTGGCCCTCCTATCGCACACACAACAAAAAATGCAAGAGAAGACGACCAGTGCAGCAAAAGCCTCATCAGCAGTAGGTCTCAATATACACAAAGGAAAAGCAAGATTCTCCGATACAACAAAACATGCACCAATCAAACCAAACTCGACGGAGAAGATTTGGAAGATGTAAAAACCTTTAGATATCTGGGCAGCATCATTGATGAACATGGTGGATCTGATGCAGATCTGAAGCCGCGGATCGGCAAAGCAAGAGCAGCACATTTACAACTGAAGAACATCTCGAACTCAAAAACAACTCTCAACCAACACTAAGGTGAGAATTTCCCATATAAATGTCAAGACAGTTCTACTGTAGGGGGCGAAAACTTGGAGAACTACGAAAGCCATCATCCAGAAGATACAAGTGTTTATTAACAGTTGTTTACGCAAAATACTTCGGATCCGTTGGCCGGACACTACTGTGGAAGAGAACAAACTAGATTCCAGTGGAGGAAGAAATTAAGATAAGCGTCGGAAGTGGATAAGATACACATTAAGAAGAGCACCCAACTGCGTCATAAGGCATCATCAAAGCCAAAGGAGAAGAGGAAGACGAAAGAACATATGACGCCGATAAATGAAGACAGACTTGAGAAGAATAAACAACAATTGGATAGAAATAGAAAGGAATGAGCAGGACGGAGTGGGTTGGAGAATGCTAGTTGGTGGCCGTTGCTCCATTGGGAGTAACAGGCGTTAGTTACATGGTTAAAAAAGGTGTTCTGTAAACCTTTTCATTTGATTACAAAATATAATCGAGTTCCAGTTTAATTTTGTATATCAATCAACAAAAAAAATAAAGCAGTAATTTCAAATTGAATGATTGACTTGAAAGAATTCAGTTTCAGGATTTAAAAAAATAATAACACAATACTATTGAATGTTAGTAGAATTTATAACAATAAATAGAATTAATTTCAATTAAATGACAAAGTCATAATGATGATATCAAAACTTACTAAGCTTTAAATAAAATCAAGTTAGATGATGATTGGAGGTAGTCAACAGGAAACCCTGGACTCGGGTTTCGTGCTACTTGGTACTCGTCAGCAAAGTGTACCTGTAATCTTGAGGGAACTGGTGCTCCCTGGCGGACTCGATCTCGTGTTACCGAGCTTCACAGTCAGAGACGCGACCGATCTCCTGTAGGACTGAGATGTAATCACAATTGATTGATTACTGGGTGGTGATCAATGTCATATGTGTCAAGTCCTTAGTGCAGATTGGATACTATCAACCATGTTGCAATGTGGCCACCAGTCTAGGTGACTCGACATTGTGGGCACTACATATTGAGATTTAGATGGTAGTTGGAGGTAGTCGACAGGAAACCCTGGACCATTATACATTATACAATCACAATTATATGTGAGATAAATTCTAAACACAGATTGGTTGTTTTATTTACACATATTCACATAAACATAAGTTTTAGTAAAAAGAATAATAATAATAATAATTCAAAAATTAATATTTTTTCTAATAAATAAATCAAATGATCAAGTCCATAGTTTAATTGAACTTTATTTAACATTCAGTCTATTTTATTCACCTCATACTGAATTATAGTTTATTTATATGAATTGATTAAATGTTATATTATTTATTAAATTTATTTTCAATATCCTACATTCGTTTATTGTAAGTAACAGATTTGAAATAAGGAATATCTAGAAAATTCTATCGCAAAAAAATTAATAAACAATACACCATTTTGTATCATCGTTTGTTTAAATTGACTTTAATTAAGTTAAAGTTGTAATTTATTTTTTTTAAAATTTAATTTTTAATACTCATTACCATTTCATTACATTGTGTTTATTAAAGTTTTAACGATAAAAAAACAAACAAACAAACCAACAAAAGTTACTTACAAATCTTGATTAATTACATATCATATCTATTCGAAAAATTAAGGAAATCATTATCGTTGAAGAAACTAGAAATAATCTATTACTTCATTTTCAATGAATATGCTGATCAATTTGACGTCTTCTTCCTCTTCTCCTTCCTCTTCTTCTTCTTCTTCTAATGATTATATTAATGATGTCAAATTAAATGATAATGGTGAAGTGATCTTAAAACGTCGTGAATATTCAAATACTAAATGTTTATATTATTTATTTACTGAATTCTTTCAAAATACAACTGTTTATCTATATGTCATGACATTTTTATTTTCTGGTTTATTTTGTTTATCTATATTATTCATTATAAGTTATATAATAATTAATAATTTAATCATTATTCTATTAAATACTTTCAATATATATATCATCAATAATTATAAATTATCAATAATCAATATAAATTCAATAAATGAATTTCAATATTCAATTATTATTATTTTATTTATTCTATATATAATTTATTGGTTATGGGATTGGAATTCAGAAAATCATGGTGGACATCCAAAACAATTTATACGTTATTTAAAAATATGGGAATATTTAGCAGATTATTTTCCAATACATTTAGTAATTAGTAAAGAATTTATTAAATTTAATAAAATTCATAATCATCATATTAAACATCATTCTTATTTTATGAATTCTATTATGAATAATAAAGATTATAAAAATCATGATCATTTTGATAATGAATTAATGAAAGAAAATTATCTATGAATGTTAATTATTTGGTTGGATTTCATCCACATGGAATACTTGCTACAGGAGCATTTATTAATTTTGCTACAGAAGCTACTGGTTTTTCAAAAGTATTTCCTAGATTTAAGCCATATTTAGCTATATTAGAAGCTCATTTTATAGCACCATTTTATCGAGATTTTCTAATGTTATTCGGTAAGTGTCTTTTTATTATTATTATTTTTTTGAGTGATAACTTGAATTGCTATATGTTGTAGTTATTTTTTATGATGTTTCGAAACATTGTTTAACTGCATCATGCATTTGAAATCATTACACAGGAAGTCCTGAATCTTTTTCCATGTTTACCGGTGTACATCAGAATATTGCACTAGAAAACTTGAAAAATCTGATGCTTCAAGAATTCGAATATGTCATTCGGAATGTGATCATAGTAAATAAGTTAGTTTATTGACTTTTAATAATGAACATCAGAATCGTCAATGTCGATTTCATGTATCTAAGTACTATTGGAAACAAAAAAACGAAGAGTAATAAATACAATAAAACCACATAAAGAAGAAAAGCAATGCTTATTCTGTATAAATTATCGGTAAATTCAGAGTTAAATATAGATCAGTATTATATTTTTTTAGTTGATACACTGAATTATAAATCCATTTGGACTTTTTAGGTATTAAGAATTGATTTCTAGTCAAAAACAAGTGCTCATGAGAAAACTGGTACCATGTGAATATATACATCATACTATTCCTTAAAGATAAAACCCAATCTTTACATTTAAGCTACAGTATTTTGTAAGCAGGATTCAAATAACAGAATGAACGTGCGAACTAAAAGTTTTGTTCTCAAGTACTTTCATTATATATATAATGCTAATTTGAATAGTTGAAAAACTTTAAAAAATGTACTGTTCAGTTATCTTTTTGAAGTTGTCTGTATTTATTGAATGTCGGTCTGTGCCAAAATAAAATTACTAAATTATGTGAAACAATCATAAGTTTATGCATTTGTAGTACACTGTACATAATAACAAATTTTGATTTGAATGTATTTCTCATTTTTTGGAGAAACATTTAAAGAAAGAAAGGATTGAAAAGTTACTTCATCTTAGTCTGGAATTCTTTATTAATATCCATTAATGATTTCACACGCAATTTAGCGCAATAAAAAAGAAACTTTGACATCACTGAATTTGACAGGTTGACCACGCAGTTGTTTGTGTTTTCTTCCATGGATGGTTTTGAGATCTTGATTAGTTTCGTCTTTAGGGTGTCTCTTCTTTGTTCTCTGTGTTGTTTGCATAATATCTTCATGGCTGTTGTCAAGATTCCCAAATGTTGTGACGTGAGTGTCCTTTGTAGCTTCATTTTTTGGTCCTCTATTACGTGTTGGTATTTTGGGGATCCTGTAATGTGCATCCGTTATCATTAGGTGTACTATTTTTCTTCCACTTTTCCCAGCTACTCTACACCACAATGGGGAGTTGACTGGAGGTCTGTATCTTAAACTTGTTGGTAGAACATTCAGGCTACCATATCGATGAATTAAAATTTAATAGTCCACAACCATAAAATGCTTCAATTTATTATGTAGCTATTGAGGGCTGTTTAGTTCCTTCAAACGATGTCAATTTATTAATATGATTACCTTCAAAACTTAATGACATTTTTAAAAAATGAATGATGGTATGTAGACATGATATTTATTATTTTGTCCAAAGTATAAATGTTTTTTTTTTATTGTTGTTATACGAATGTTACATTTTCGTACGATGTATCTTTCAAGTACTTCAATTTTAAACGTATAAATTAAGATCAAAGATATGTAGTTTTTGAGGTCCCACAGAAACACATTAGATAGGTATTACATAACAGTTAAATATTGTTTTAATATCTAACACGTTCTGTAAATGTCCAAAGTATTACTTCGCTTTTTAATGTTCTGAGTAAATTTACTATGTTGCTAGTAATCTTAATGTTTTATTCTAGTCTGATCTTCTATTAAACTGTTTTATGATTAATTAAACTGTGATTTTCTATGAGAAAATAGGTTGAGTTTATTCTTTGTATGGTTGGATTAATTTTCATTGTTCTAATATTTAGAATAAATTTATATCATACTAATTAATGTTTCCCTTTATATAAGAATAAACTACCTTATCTGAAATTCATCAATATATAGTGTTAGATAAATGAAAGCTTATAGAGATTGAATGAAGTTTAAAATATAGTTTTTATCATGACATTTAGAAAGTATTGAATATACCTTTGTTTTTGTTATCATCACTCCTTCAATTGAAACTAGAAATAAACTAAAAAAGAATTGATTAAAGAAACAAATAATATTAGGTTAATTGGTTTAGAAACTATTTCTGATCAGTCAGGAACTCTTACTTCCTAGATCTAGTTAAAAGATGGTTATTATGTTCTTACTGATAAGGATTTACTAAGTAGAATACATAGCTATTCACTACTGTTTTATATTTAATGATAACGTCATATGGGGAGACCGTATCCTTAAATTTAGTAAATTGATTTATAAGCATTTTAATGAGAAAAATGTAAGTGGAATGTTAACAGTTCGTTTGATAAGTGACTTGTAAACAAAATTTTAGAGTGAAAATTTGTTAGTAATAGTGGCTCAAATAGTGGTTCACAGGACTAAGGTAAACATTTCATGCAGAGTTATCAATAAACTTGATTGAACCTTTGTTTAAAATATCATAAGGTCAGTATATATATCGAATCATTTCCTGTCATTCATGTTTATTTCACCACTAAATATGTTTAGCACATTTTAAATAAACATATATGTTTCAACAAATAGTTTTATAAACAGAACAATGTTTAACCAACTATTTTCAATTACATTATAAAATAAGTTAATAATGATGATGATTTCAACCAACAAATTAGAGAACCAAGAAATCTGTTTATTGAAATGCTAAAAAATATCAGACGACAAACTATTCATTTATTGTCTGTTTTTATTACTATAGATGGATTAATAGGTATCTGGTCTCAGTAGCTTAATAGATGACTCAACGTTTGAAGCGAAAGGTACTCGGTTCGGTTCTTAGTGTGATCCTAAACATGAAGATCCAGGCATATACAGCTTACAGTACCGAATAGAACAAAACGTGTATCGTTGACCATAATCCTGTCCATAATTTATCTATCCTAAAATTGGTAACAAAGTGGCTATTTCGAGGCAATCCGCTCAGAAAGTACGTATGCAAGAAAGAAAATGGGTCTAGAATATTATCAACGGAATAATTCAAATCCTATCCAATAAAAATGCGCCTCTTAGCGTCGAAGTTAATGGCAGTTTGTGAACACAAACTGAAATATATCTTTTAAAATAATCGTTAACTAGTATCAAAAAAGGTTTTGTGCAGATCGCAGTAATTTCAATAGTTGAAATCATGACTCGTTTGAAGCTAGACCACCATAGGAAACCTGGAAGCACTGGACGGCCGTTTCGTCCTATTGTGGGACTCCTCAGCGATGGGCATCCATGGCTCCGCCTCGCGGGATTCGAACCCAGGACCCATCAGTCTCGCGAGTGAGCGCTTAACCACTAGACCACTGAGCCTGTCGGCATCCAACGGTGATAATGTCTAACTTCAACTAGTCCACGAAATTGAGTGACACATCCACCATTGTCGTCAGTGAGTTCCTGCCTCACAACTGACACGGTTGAACTCCACCGGTCAATGCTTCTCACTAGAATTCCAGGATATACCTCTTGAAGCCAGTCACTAGTAAGCATATGTTGATTGTTATCAGAAGGGGTTTTGTAGAGATTTCAGTAATTTCAATAGTTGAGATCATGATTCAATTGAAGCCGTAGATTTAGAAAGGATTACCTTGAACTTTAAACATAGTGACTAATTCAGTAGAATAACTATCCCTAAGTTAAACAGAAACCTTTTCGTAAATTCAAGTATTAAAAATATATTTTATGAAGATTGATGTCTATACGGTAAACGGATTATGATTTGATTACTCATTCGTTTTGAAAATAAATCCCAAATTCATCATCCAAGTCTAATGTTCCATTGATAACTTTACTAAGATGAAAAGTTATTTTTTATTAATCATAGTCAAGATCGGCAACAAATTATACTGTCAAATAGTAAATATTAATATCGTGAAAAAACGGCTGAGAGGCATCTAAGAGTAAAGACTTGCTCATGAATTAAAAGATTAGAAATCGTTAGATGGTCCCTCATGTATAAAGAGTTTTAGTATCCGACATCATATAAACTATGCACTACAACAGACACGTTGTAATGTCATGGCTTATTCACTAAAGATAAATTTTTTTATGTCAGTTTAATTAGAAAACTGTTTTTTGAAAGAGAAAAATAACTATAATCCAATGGTAAATTCCTGGGAGATTTTAAGAAAGAGGAATATTTTTAAAAATTTTAATTTCAGCATTCAAAAACTGTTTCCTTAACTTCGCGTGATTAATTTAATCACATCGTTATTTTTATTCTTCGATTTTAGATAACTCAGTTTCATCGTAACACCTGGTCGTCTATATACACATTTATAATTTGTGAACAACTTTTGTCGTTTAGATGCTTTTATCGTAGATTTGAGAATCCTCTACCTGATTACACATAAATTACATTTGGTTTCAGGTACTAAGCTTAATTATTTCCTTATGTATTTTATTTGATGTCATAATTGTAGCACAGCCCTTGGAATGTGGTTTTTTCTTCAACGGTCTTAAACTGTTATGGACTTAATAATAGTGATAGCTTTTGTAATTTCAAGTTATCCTTAGATAATTAGAGGCCATAAGACTAATATGTCGGTAAAAATAAACATATTTCTTGTTCGTTTATTTTTTGGGCTCGTACAATTGAACCGTAAGACAAGGGAGCTACTGTATACATATAGTCTGAGTATCGATTAGTTCGGTAGGAAGAAATACAATATACCTACAATAAATATCTTTAAGAACCTAATATCGTAATTTTACACAAGTTTGTGTAGCCCAGTTTTGAACTCCAAGGACGATTTGTTTGGGGAGTATTTGCTCTTGATTAGCACATACCGTACTTTGGTTTTGATAGTTTTTCGAACATCATCACTTTTGTCAAAGAAATAAACCTTGTCAGGTAATGACGTTAGCTTTAGAGAAAGATATAATCAATTTCACTGAAATCATGAGCCGAT